TGGGAGTAACAAGTGATGCTCAAGTGACGCTCTGACCATCAAGATAGATCATCCTTAATGTCAGCCGTGGATTAGGCTAAGTGTTTGTTCCTCCAAAGTTGTAACCAAAGTTGTAATGTGAGCTTGGGTGACATATGCAGCTCTGCAACAGGAGCAGGGGTGAACGAGAAATAGCACAAAGGGGTTGGGGGAAAAGTGTCCTCTTGAACTTGGGCTGCTGATAGACAAGGAGTTATTCCCTGAAGACACACAGCATGTGGGCCTGGGTTTCATGGCTGCAAGTTACAAGCCCTGTGTTTCTGACGGGAACTGCTGGGGTTCAGGACCCTGCTGCACGTGGAGCGTTTACCCTACAAAGGTAGAGTTACAGGAGAGGCCTCTGGACTCTCTAGCTTTTCAAGGCTCTGATGCAAGAAATGATTGTAAAGGGACATTGAGAGGTTGGCGTAGGCATGCACGAGGGGGCTTTCAGAAACCCCAGCGTTCGTCATGTTATGAATATAAAAAGTAAATAAAGGGGAACAGTGTGTTTTGAAAAGAATAAAATTCTCTTGCAGTGTTTGCAATTCAACTATTGCAGCCTCCTGCTAATGTATGAGACCTGCACATAATCCCGCTGCCACACGGACAAGCCTTCCTAGTTGCAAGATGCCGAGGCTCCATCAAATATCTATAAAGCCCCTACCTACCTATACATAATAATGCCATTGCAGTTTCTGAATGCATACTGGCACATAGCATCGCTTTGCTGAATTCATGCTTAACTACCTGCCACTTGTGACATTGAACCACTCGGAATCCAAGTATCTGCTGGTACCTGTATTAACAGTGTTCACCTGCACAGGTGCCTCTTGCTGATGTAATCTGCCTATGGCATTGACAAGGGATGTTGGATCTGATCCGAGAGAGAACAATTCCATTGTCTTTAGTGGACTTTGGATCAGGCCCAGTGTGTTGATTAACAGTTCTATTTTACTCACCCATGGCCTCATCCAGAGCCCTTTGAAATCAGTGGTAAGAGTCCCCTTGATTGAAGCATACTCTGGATCAGGCCTGTAGTTGCCTGTATACCCAATATAAATGCAAGTTTGTGTCCACTAGTAAATACCCCTGCATGGATTAAGAAAGTGAAATTGATTGGAAACTGACAAAACTAAAGGACAGAATTGACTCTTCCAGTCTGTTTAATTGCCTGACCTGGGAGAAACACAAAACAACCCCTCAATGGAATAATAGTACAAATAAAACTTTAAACACTGCAATTCATTTTTAACATTCTAGTAAGTTTTCAGTAGCACAGTTTAGGCATTTTAAAATTAAATACTCAGGGTCCGTTTTTCACTCCGCCACATGGGCTTAAACATCAGTTTAGACTCCATTCCATTTTAGTGCAATTACGTGGGCACAATGGAGTGGAGAATCAGGCCCTTCAGTGCAACTAGGTTGTCCCTTTTTCGGATCAGGTCTGGGTGCCACTTGAGCAAATCAAACAAGAGAGCACAGTCCAGGTGTAGCTAGACCTGGCTCGAAGCCTAGTGGATATTTTCTGTCATTGGGTGCTTGTTTGTTTTTAAGTAGAGAGAGTCTCTCTCAAATCACTTTTAAGCCGGTAGGAATGGAGCGCTTGCCTTTTGTCAGATGCAGTTGTGACTTTGGGGGAGGAGATGGGGGGTGCCACTGAACCACACTTTGTGCTGGGGTTTAAGTGAAATGAATGAATTTATAGAGGTGCAGAGTATTATAAATGTTGGAAGAACCTGTGTTGTAGTAAGGCCATTAGTTCTGTTCATGGCCTGGTGGGCTCTTTCTGTAGGTTTAGTGCCTCCTTTTCTGTCGCACTCTCACTCTTGTTAGGTCTGATGAGTCCCTGAGCAGTCACTGAGACCTGGTAACTGCTCTAAGGTACCATAATGGCCATAAAATGGTTTTTATTATCTGATCAGCGCTGTTCTCTTTAGCCTGCGAAGTCACAGCAGAGAGCATATTGCAATTATTTTGCCGCGGAAATTTGCACACCCTCCTCTCCACCCCCTTTAATTGTTATGATAAATTGCAACTTCAGGAAAATATATAAAGCTCTGGGATGATATAGCCAACTGATTTTCAGCCCTGGCCTTTCAGCGTGACTGGAGCCAGGTGCAAACAGGACCCTTTCACAGAACACGCCATACCTACGAAGGATCGCTTTAGACAGAAGCTGAGCTCTGTACAGATTTGCTAACAGAGAACTGTATGCAGTAGAGCGGGAGGGAGCCAAGTGGGGAGGAGAAGCCCCGAGCCTGTGGAAGGTGTCTGGGGTGAGGGAAGCAGAGCCTCCCGGGCAAGTTCCTCCAGGCCTTATAGACTTTAGAAACTGCTCTTTGTACGAACCACGTGGTTGGGTCTCCTGTAATCTTGAAGGAGGCAGGCTGATGTAGGTGTGTGTTTTTGGGGTGACAGCCGTTGTCTGTTGCATCGTCTCTTGGAAGCCCCTGAGCTACCCCCTCATGTAGGCTTCAGACCAACTCACTCAGCTCTGGCAAATGTGCTGTTTTGCAGCCGAGGGTGGGCACTTGGGAATCAAACAGCCATCCTGCCCGCTGCAGCATGTCCCAAGATCCATACAAAGCCTGGGATGTCCAAGGACTTAGAGGGGTTTGCCCTGTTGCTGTTCCACAAGGGTTTGGACTCCACCACCACCTCTTTACTCACCACTCCCAGTTCCTCCCACCCTGCCCCAGGAATAATTTGCAAGTAAATTGAAAATGTTCTTCGTGGGGAGTGTCTTATCCCCTACGTAGGAAGGTTTCCCCCATTTTCAGGCCAGTTTGACCCATTGCTTCTCTGTCCCCTGATGTTTGCTGCTCACAGCAGCTGCTTTGGCTCTAAAATGCACGAGAATGGGAAGCTAACAGGCCTCCTTTGGGTTACACCTTTAGGTGGATGTAGCTAATTGTTGCCATGATCAGGGCTCCTCTTAATTAACATAACTGGAAAGTCAGTGGCAGACGCAGAAGAGACGTTTTCATTTGGCGTTCTTGGAAAAGTTTGAAATGTATTTAATAAAAAAAAAAAAAAGACTTACATTGAGGTTTATTCAGCTATCCAGTAGCTCTCCCCTGCTTTTCCAGAGCATTTCATTTGTCAGGATTATTTGGAAGGTCTGAGCTGCAGCCTCTGTGAACCTCTGTGAGGGGAAATGTTGCTTTGAATTTATCTGACCTGGCCTGACACATTTCACCTTCTTCTCTCTGCAAGTCCCTCCCGAAAGCACGCTCCTGCCGAGAGGGCCACAAGGCCTTGCCTTTCCCACCGAAGATGATGCATGCATGCATGCATGCATGCAGGGAGGTCACAGGACTCCTGCTTCACTTCACTGCTTTCATGATTCCCCTTCTAATCTTGTATTTATGTTGATGTCTAGTTAGACTTTAAGCCTTAGAGGGCAAGGACCTTAGCTTTGTATCGGTCTGTCTCAGGTCTCCTAAACCCCTTTCACACCGGGTGTGCGAATGTGATGGTTGCCATCTTGCCTGATGGACCTGGGAGTGAATCAGTGTGCTCCTGAGCAGGAAGCGTGAGCTTCTACAGCTTGAGCTAAAAAGCCAAAATTCCCTAACCAGGGCTATAACAAACTCTCATCCTCTGTGGATCAGGCACAGAGTGGGGGACCTGTGGCACACACTCACCGGTGGGTTACACCAGTGGTTCTCAACCAGGGGTACGTGTACCACGGGGGCTACACAGAGGTCTTCCAGAGGGTACATCAACTCATCTAGATATTTGCCTAGTTTTACAACAGGCTACATAAAAGACACCAGCGAAGTCAGTACAAACTAAAATTTTCATACAGACAATGACTTGTTTATACGGCTCTATATACGCTATACACTGAAATGTAAGTACAATATTTATGTTCCAATTGATTTATTTTATAATTACATGGTAAAAATGAGAAAGGGGGCAATTTTTCAGTAAGTGTGCTGTGACACTTTTGTATTTTTATGTCTGATTTTGTAAACAAGTGGTTTTTAAGTGAGGTGAAGCTTGGGGGTGCGCAAGACAAATCAGACTTCTGAAGGGATACAGTAGTCCGCAAAGGTTGAGAGCCACTGGGTTACACTACCCCAGTCGTAAATGAGATTATTGGGACCAGGGCCCCGTTGTGCCAGGTGCTGTACACGTGTACAACAAAAAGACAGTCCCTGCCTCAAGAGCTTTCAGTCTATTTGTTTGTACTTTGGCTTTCTCAAGAGTTGCGTGGTAATTGACGAACTTGGGCAGGACTGTCCCGGGAGAGTTTGCACAAGCTCCTTCCTCTGTTAAAATCCATCCCCTTCAGCTGGGGTGTGTGAAAAGGACAACGAAAACCGCTGTGGTGATAGCTTCACGTTTGCGGTAGTACAGACTGTTTGCTGTTACAGAAGGACAGAGTTTGCCATCAGACGGTGCGGGGAATTTCTAGTAGAGTCACTGAGAGTTCGGGGGGTGGGTCAGGCCTGTAGGTATTCTGGCTGGGGGAAATTCACCTCAGTGTCGAAAGCCTGCAAGAGGTTGTGTGTGTCTGGGGTGGCTCCCCACCCTCCCCTTATGCACCACTTCAGTCAAAATAGGGCTTAAGGTGAACTTAATTGGAGCATAGCCTTGGTGCTGGGAGGGAGTCTCCCCTCTTATGCATAAAATCTATCCTATATAGGTAGTAGGAAATCTCTTGGAGAGAGGTGGGCTGGGCCCTAGCTCTGCTGTTATCTTTCCCTCCTGTTGACCTGGCCCAGCAGGAAGAGCCTAGGGAATGGGAAGCGTCTGCCTGTTAGAGCTGCAGCAAGTTTGTGCTGAGTGGGACAGTCATGAGAACCCCCTTGAAAGTCACCTGTATTTGAACCTTCACACCCGTGTTAACTGGGCACTGACTCTCACAACGTAGCAATTTTGAGGAGAGCTTTTTGGTCCTGAGTTGCCTAATCAAATTCTCCTTCTCTTCCCTCTCCCCGATTTTTGTGCCAATTCCTTCTGCTCGCCAGAACCGGGGTCGCCTGGCCGAGAAGAGAACAATCCCTCTGCCTCCCACCAGGCTCCCAAAGAAAGAGCTGCCCTCCATTTTCTCACATAGCGACGACAGCGAGGAGAGTGACAAGGCCAATGGTCAACACCCTGAGGTGAAGCAGGAGGAGGATCTGCATATCAGTATCATGAAAAGAAGGTACTTTCCGGCTGTGGGATGGTGGCACTGCGAGCCCAGAGACGGAGAGCACTTGACGGCGGGTCATGGGACCGTGCCAGAGCTGCCACGGGAAGCTCAAGTTCAAAGGCTGCCTGTTGGCATCATCTCCTGAATTGGAAATGAAAGTGTAGATGTAGCAGATATATAGTCGTTATACGCAAAGAGTGGAAGGGGGATTCCTGCTCTGTGTTCCTTACTGTGACCCACTCACTCCTGTTTGGAGAGGCTGAGGGTCTGTGGAGCCTTCAATAGATGTACCATGGAATTTACCTCGTACTAGTGGCACTCGGCCGTTAGATGATAATCTCATTTGACCCTCCGTCCAGTGTTCAGTGACTGTGCTGCATGGGGCCTTTTCAGTCACAGATGGTAGAACGTGGCAAAAGTCTAGGAGCCAGATCCTCAGCTGGTATAAAGATGCTGAAGTTTCATGGGTTCACGCCAGCTGAAGATCTAGCCCTACGTTCCAGTTTGTCCTAACGGGACCGCGGTGATCTAGAACCCTTAAAAACTTTTGGGTGTTGGTAAACAGAACAGTGGCAGGCGGGGGAGGGAGGTGTTTATGCTCCTAATTGGAAATGTCAAATTGCTAAAGACAAAATCCCAGGCTTGGCCTGAAGAATGTGATGGTAAGTATTACGGTAGATGTGTTGAAAGAGCTGTGGGTTAAAAATAGTCAGTAAAACGTAAGGAAAGTGTGTGTGTGTGTGTGTGTGTGTTTTGAACATCTCTCTGTACTGTGTGCGCTCCTCCTACCTAAAACTGATGCAGAACTGAAAAGGGAATTGAAAATCGTAAGTCACACCTAGGTATCCCCTAAGTTTGGCTCTCGTGAAAAGCCTCGTTGCCCCTGGTATCCAGCTGCAGAACTTTGGGTTCTTGCATCCCTCCGGAGAAATATGTTGTTTATAGGATCTACAACCACAGGAAAATAAATATCCCGAGCGGCTGCATCTTGGCCCCCCCATGCATGTCATTGCTACTCATTTTGATCATCATCTCTCTCTAATGCATAAAATCGCTCAGATTCCCAGACAAGCTCTATAAAAACAGAGGAGTGGAAACTGAAGGCATGTAATTGCTTTTCTGTGTTTTATGCGTTCTTGCTCCTGAGCAGATAAGCCATTTCCCCTTTCCTCCAAGCAGAAACCGCTACGTGTAACAACTGCGATCTCAGGAATAAGGGAGTCGAAAGAGTAGCCTGGCCCCTCGGGTGAAGCCCGTCTATAACCAAGAGTTGCTCACCCATCACAGTAGTTGGTCTACGGTGCTGACCAAGGGTTATTAATTGGAAGAGGGGCAGGTGCATCTCGCGCGCTCTCTCACACATGTGCGCACACACACGAACCTGGCTAAACAGTCCCAAGAAGCTACCATAATTTCCCACCCCCACCCTCCTTTAATTATGCTTTTAATTCTGCAAAAATTACAATGCTAGGCTTTCTCATTAGGATTGTGAATAACATAATAAATATTTAATTGATATTCAGGGCCCCCAAAATATAAAGTGCTTTTATCTTAAATCTTTAATTACAGTAATTGCTTGGCCTTGTTTATTAGGAAATGCAGAAAAAAATATTCCTTAATTGTCATTAGCTCCTGGTCCTTCCGCTCACCATTTCACTGCCCCTCCTTCCATTTTTTCGATCAGTTTATTGGAAGGTCTCAGTCTAAACCTTGTTTTGAATTCTTAGGAGGAGAGGATCATGCTTTCCAGTTACTTTGAATCCTGTTTATTCCATAGAGACGTTTTTGACCCCACTTTGCTGCCATTGTAGAGGGGCTGTGTGGGGATATTGCATTCGCTTTTTCACTTTCAGACCAGCCCAATCCTCTTTCCATTGACTTTCAGTGGGAGTTGGATCAGAGGCCCTCTGTGCCTACAGTTCTTGCTAAGACAGAGCTTCGTTCTGAGAGGAGCTGAGCATTTTAGCCGGAGCTGCCTGCGCTGAGTACCTCTCTGGAGCCTTCCAGAGTAGTCGCAGACTCTGGTACCCTCTAGGGGCCCAGTCTGGGCCCCATTTGTGCTAGTGGGGGGGGTGGATGCTGCAGCATTGTTGCCCAGGATCAGGCCTGTAGCCTGATGTCACAGAAGGTGGTATTCAAGTTCTTCCTAAAGCCCGGGGCTTGGAGATTCCTCGTGGCGAGCAAAAAATGGCTGCAGGGAATATGTAGCCTAATTCATTGCACACAAACACTTTGCCAGGGAATCTGTTGTAAAAGGTGGGACCTTTGGAAGGTGGAGGGGGAGTAAAGCGTGGAGGCGAATGAGAGCTTGGTAAAGTTGGTCTGGCTGCTATGTGGGTGTGCCTGTGTAGAGACAGAGAGACCTTGTGCTCTCTGTCCTGTCCCAGAGCTATTCTCGCATATGTCTTGATGAAGGGCTAGAATGGCAGAGGCGGCTCCAATGTGGCCAGGCACTGCAGTGATGGATGCAGTAATCACCAGAAAGAGAGAGTGCATTTTCGATACCCCACCAGGAGGCACCTGCTGCTCACACCTTCACCTTCAGGAATCTCCTAATGCTCTAGCTCTTACACCTTTAAAGCGCACATTACACCAACTCCCACCCCTTGGCCTTGAATGCCCAAAGATGGAACTTGCAGCATTGTTGTAGCCGTGTTGGTCCCAGTGTATTAGAGACACGAGGTGGGTGGGGTCATATCTGTTATTGGACCAGCTTCTGTGAAAGACACAAGCCTCTGAGCTGCCCAGAGCTCTTCTGCAGGTGGAGCTGTGGGTCAGAGGGGTAGCAGGTGCCATTGCTTAGGGCTGGCTCTGGGGAGAGCAATGGGTAGAAAGTAGCTGGATCCCTTCTGGTCACTGCTCTGCTGCAGTGTACGTGTGCTTGCTGTGCTCGCTCTCTCGTCATGAGCATCACAGTGGAGAGGGAGGAGGGCGTGGTCAACCTGGTTTCAGGGAGGCCAACGTCCTCATCATAAAGGCTAGCTGTGTAACAGACATGACAGCTGGTGCGCCATCTGCGTCCTGTTTTCATTCACCTGTTGCAGCCTCCCATAGTGGTGACGGATTGGGCGGAGGTGTCGTTGCCTCCAGGGGAGAGGAAGAAATATGCCAAGCTGTGGTCGCAAGGGAGTGAGGTCAGAATGAAGCCAGTCCTAGTGTGTTTCTCTCTCTGTTGTTTTGAATGCTTTTGTTTCCGATTTCACTTTTGTGAAACGTCTCCTTCCACCCCCAGTATCAATGTGAGGGAATGTGTGCCAGGAAGGCTTGCCATGTTTAACGAAAAGGGAATGGTGCTTAGTGAGCAGAACAGGGGTTTGTGAGCTCAGTCTCCTGAATTCTGGTCCAGCCTTTGCCACTGGCACGCGAGGGGACATTAGGCAATGGGTCTCCTTGTGGGTGCACTTTAAGAGCAGGATGTCTGGATGCTGGTGCTCTTGGACTGCATGGTGGAGGAGGATCGACTAGTGCAGCTGTCAGCTCTGTGCATTGCAGAAGGGATATGGCTGGGCAGATTAGGGGCATGGCAGAGGGTCCTGCCATCCCAACCCATGTGTGCCGGCTAGTGCTTGAGGTTGCTACTGCGGGGAGTGGATGCTGCAACTTCTTAAAGGGGTAGTCGGTGCTGCTGCTGAGCACTCTTTGAAGTCATCTGTGCTACATAGGGAGAGTATACATAGCCACTGTTGCTTGGCCACTGCATCTCTGCACCCCTCTGGCTGTATCAGCAAGAAAGTAGCCCCTACCCTTTTTCTGTAAAACGGGTACAATAATATTTACCAATCTTGCTGGAGTACTATTGCAAAGATTCCTGAATGTTTGGAAAGTGCTGGGAGGCCCTGGCAGAAAGGTACACTGTCAAATACAAATATCCCGTTATTAATTCTGCAAACAGTAGTTTGTAATGATGGTGAATTGCCATCTCCTTTGCACCATGGGCGCTTTTCTGCAGGCCCTTTACATAGTCGAGGAAGGAGGGGTCTTTTTGCAGATGGTGTAATAAAGTAGCCAGTGAGGTCACGCCTCTGCCTGCGAGCATGTTGTTAGGTCCTGATCCCTCACGTTACTGAACATCTGCGGAAGGAGGTGTTGGAAGGAGTCAGAGATGCTCAGCAGTTGCTTTTGGTGCATATAACAAAGTTAAGTAAACCAGACCTGGTAACTGACATGAGCTTGGGTCCCTGTACAGAGATCCAGGTGACCTGTGGTTATAGGTGAGTTGATGCATCTTTTAGCGAGACATCGTGAGCCCTGCTTCACACATTTTACATTAGCATTCTGTGAGCATGCCCTGCATCTGGGAAACAGAAAGTTTCAAATCCTCTCTCTCCCAGCCAGCTTCCCATGCTGGGATTGTTACTGTAATGCAGTGCTTCTCAACCAGGGGCCTGGGGCCCCCTAGGGGGCCGCGAGCAGGTTTCAGGGGGCCGCTAAGCAAGGCCGGCATTAGAGTTGCTGGGGCCCAAAGCAGAAAGCTGAAGCCCCACTGCATGGGGCTGAAGCCCGGGGCCCCAAGGCCCACCACTCGGGGCTGAAGCCGAAGCCTGAGCAACTTACCTTCGCGGGGGCCCCTCTGGCATGGGACCCCAGGCAACTGCCCTGCTTGCTACCCCCAATGGTGGCCCTGGCTTTTATATGCAGAAAAACAGGTGGTGTGGCACAGGTGGGCCTTGGAGGCTTTTATAGCATGTTGTGGGGGGAGTGGGGGGGGCTCAGGAAAAGTTTGAGACCCCCTGCTGTAACGTTTGACGCGCTGACTGTAAACTCTCCAGCAGCGGCCATCCACGTGCCAGGGAGCGATGGCTTCAGGCCTTTGGTTGCAGAAAGCCTCACTCTTTGAGGGACTTCTCCACACACACACGTCGTACTGCCTTAACTATCTCAGTTTCGTTAAAGCAGTACAACGCATCTAGTGTGGACGCAGTTATATCAGTAGGCAGGTGCTTTATACTAGTGTCGCTAGCCTATTCCCGTACAGGAAAGGAAGTATGCTATACCAGTTTAAGGCACATTTA